GTCTTATGCAGGTTCCCCATATGTCAGATACGAGTCAGTGATCTCTCTCTAGCTCGGGTCAGCTGATTCTGTGGGTTTCCCCATCATGGTCTTGACTCCTTTGTTCAATTTTCACTCCTCCCTCACTTCGTTTGTACTCCAGGAGCTTGGCCCAATGATTAGTTGTGGATTTCTGCATCTGCTTCCATCTGTTTCTGGAGGAGGGTTCAAGCTTCTGTGGTGTTAAATAGGCCGGGTGTCTTTTGCTTTATGTCTGGCATCCATTTATGAGTGAGTACATACTGTATTTGTCTTTCTGGTTTTGGGTTACCTCACTTAGGATGGTTTCTTCTAGTTCCATTCATTTGCCTGCGAATTTCAAGATTCCATTGTTTTTTTCTGCTGAGTAATACTCCATTGTGTAGATGTACCACATTTTCTCTATCCACTGTTCAGTTGAGGGACATCTAGGTTGCTTCCAGGTTCAGGCTATTACATATAATGCTGCTGTGAACATAGACAAGGATGATTTCTAACACCCGCCTCCAGCCTCCACATGCACAAAAGCACACATGCACACACATGCACTCACAAATGTCTCCCGACACATACACTTACACATTCATACCACACACGTGAAAATAGAAAAAAGAAAGAAAAGGGGGTGCCTGAGGGACGAAGGAGAGGCTGGAAGGAGACTAGGTTGTACTAGTGTTCAGGCCGGTGGTTACTGCCAGATTATCTCTGTACCACGGTTTCGATCTTGGTTTGGATCTTGGCTGTGTTCCCAAAGGTTTGAGTGTTTCGGGTTTGGTCTCCCAGGGTGCTTTGGGCTGTGCGAAACTTTAGGAGAGGATATATGTAAATGAGAGGTCCCCAAGTCTAGGGACTGCACTTGGGAAGAACTGGGGTGTCCCGTTGATCCTGCGTGCTTTTTTGTAAGACTGTGAAAGCCTGAGCTGATGCTGGCAATGCAGGTCTACCTTCCCACACCCATCCCTGCCTGCCACCGGCCATGATGTCAGGACGCCGCACTGTTAAGAGGACCCCCACCCCACTCCATCAGGTCATTCCCTAGACCCTCCAAAACCTAGTTAAACAAACTTCTTTCTTTTCATAAGTGGCTTGCCTCAGGTATGTCATTATGTGACTGAAGGCTGCGAGGAGGGTCATGTTTAGTTATGTCTGAAGTGATGACTACAGAAGATTCAGGAGGCCTCCGTCTCCTCCACCCGACCCTGCCAGGGTCAGAAAGGGAAGGGCTGAGTTGTCTAACTCTAGTGGTTTTTAATAGGAATGGCCCCCACAGGCTCACTGATTTGAATGCTTGGTCACAGGGAATGACACTACTTGAAAGGATTAGAAGGTGTGACCTCACTGAGGTAGGTGTGTCCTGGCTGGAAGAAGTGTGTCTCTGGGGAGTGGGCTTTGAGACTTAGAACTCTCAGCTACCTCTCCAGCCTCTGTCTTCCTCTGCCACCATGCTTCCTGCCGTGATGATAAGTGACTAGACTTCCCGATGGAAGCCAGCCCCAGTTAGATGCTTCCGTTTATAGGAGGTGCCGTGGCCATTACGTCTCTTCACAGCAACAGAACACTGGCTAAGACACTGCTCCAGAGGCCTTCTACCTCCTTCAGCCCCTTCCCTCGGCATCCCGGTGTGCCTCTTTTCCTGCCTTCTCCCCCTGTCCAACAAGGGTCTGTGTTTACTGGGTGAACAACTAGGTCTGTGGCTGTCATGCCTAATGGCTGCTTTGTAATAAAGTGTGTTGTCTAAGAAAACAGCCCTGGCAACATCCTGTTTGCCTACTTCCAGAAATGCTGTCTTACCTTTGGATACCTGGGCCACACGGAGCGGAATCAGACTCAGAAGGGCATGTGAACGACAACATACTCTCGGGGCCAATGCCTTTAGTACTTTCATCTTAAACTAAACTGGGGGAGGCTCAGGAAAAAGTTGGGGTTTTGCCTTTAATTGTTAATCCGTATCCATAGATACAGAAGCACACACATATATCTTACTCATATAGAAGACTCGTAAAAGGGATCGGAGGCGACAATTTTTAAACTGGGGAAAGTGTATGTCAACAAGGTTCTGTCTGAAGCTGTAAAGTGCATAAACATGTTTTGGCACAATCCCCCCCCCCCAAACAAAAGTGTCAGGAGCCTCATCTTTTTGGCGAATTCTGCTGTGGTTACTTTGGGAGCCGGTTTGGGTGGTGATCTCGTGTGACTCAGCCTCTGCTCTCGCTGACACGCCCACAAAGCACTTGTGTAATTACTGCAGGTAATTTTTTTCTGCTCTCTCCCCCTGGAAGCTCTGCAGGCAGACACTTGAGCTGCATCAAAGTGTTTGACGGCCTGCGCATCGGCCTAACTTCAAAGCTACAGTCACGGCTTCTGTAATGAGGCATATCATATCATTCTAAAGGACCGGTTATACTCCATTGTGCAGGTTTTTATGGAGACGCCCCGTGTCTCTCTTAACACACTGCTTAGTCTCACTGGACTCTGTGACTGTGAATTGACTAGGGCCAGCAAGACGGCTCAGTAGGCAAAGGCACTGGCTGCCAAGCCAGCTTGAGTGGATTCCCGAGACCTACATGGTGGAAAGAAATGGCTTTCCCACAAACGGTTCTCTTAATTCCCCCTCTCTTGCCACCCCTCCGTCCGTCCGTCCCTCCCTCCCTCCCTCCCTCCTCTCTCTCTCTCTCTCTCTCTCTCTCTCTCTCTCTCTCTCTCTCTCAAGTAAATGTGAAAGATACTTTAAAAGAACTGTCTAAGAAAATCTGAGGGAATAAGTTAGAGTCAATAGCCTGGGACTCGTCCAACTGCCTTGTCTTCCAGGGTTACTATGCAGAGTAGTTGGGGTACATGCTCTATCAGTGGGAAGAAGCCAATGAGTTTCATAGAAGTTGCAATCTTGGAAAAAAATCACTTTTATAAAAATTGTATGTAGAGAATTGTAAGTGGACGGAAATCTGGAGACATATGTGCAAACGGACGTCCTGCGCTGAGCTTCCTAATCATGGAGGCTTTCTGCAATTCTGTGTGATAGCTCCTACCCAGTCACACACGGTCAGTGAGCAAGTGTAGAGGGGTCGCCAGTCTAGCCACCAGTAACCACAACTGGCTAGAGGCCATGGAATAGAATAGAATAACTCTCAAAGTTACCCACTCCTTTATATGGGGTGTGTGTGTGTGCGCGCGCGCGTGTGTGGCATGTGAGTGTGTGTGTGCGTGTGTGTGCTGTGTGTGTGTGTTTGAGGGAGTCTGTCGGTTTGCGTGTGTATGATTGTGTGAGTGTGTAAGTGTGTGAGTGAGTGTGTGTGGATGAGTATGAGTGTATGTGTGTGGCTAGGAAATCGAGGACCTAAACTGAAGAAAAAGGAATAAAAACGAGTACTTACTTGAATCTTCCTGGAAAAATCCTTTTGAATTGTTACCAAAATCCTTCTACCTAGGCTATAAGGCCATGCCTGCAATATGCTCTAAGGAGAACTGTGTGGTCATTTGTTTTCATTAATCATTAGGGAGCAAGGCTGTCATGGCCACGAAAAGGCTGGGCACTTCCCTGCATCCACACCTACTGATGGATAGCATTTCAGGCAATTTTGTGCTCAACAGTGGACAGGGGAAAGGTAATGAAATTGCTTCCTCATTTACCAGGCCAAGCCAATAACGTGACAATGTGCGTGCCTGTCAGTTTTATACATTGAGGGTGCCCAATAACAGGTACCAAACCCGCCCCTTTAATGTGACATAAATCAGGAGTTGTACAAGTGTAGAGGGGTCACCAAGAGGCCACAGGAACTGCAGGCTTGTCCACTTGTCTGCTCTTTGAGTCTTTGTATCGTTCCCTGGGGTGGGGGAAAAACACCACGAAATTCTCCTTGCTCTGTTGGGAAGGCCCAAGAACATGGAAAGCACCACAGCTGTGTGTACAGAAAGGCCCAGAGGAGGCGACTGCCTACAGGTGTGACAGTCTAGCCAGTGTGGGGGGCGGGGCTACAGATCAATCAGCAGGGACCCCAACCCCTTCTCTGGGCTCATTTTCCTGCAATGCTCTTGTGAGTAAACCCTGAACAAATCTTGGAAAGTATAGAGGCTCAGACATTAATACGTTTTTCTCCAACCAGGAGGAAGAGAACGTATTAATGAATCCACAATTCACTTCTGTAACGTTGGCTTTTCCCTGCTGGATGTAGGCATCCGGGTCCAGCATTCAACAAGGAACTGATAGTTTGTCTGCTCTCTTACTCCCTCAGCAAGAGAGATGTGCCTTTCTTATCAGCCGTTCTTTTGTTCCCCCCCCCCCCCATGGCCAGCTGCTGCAAAGACTCGGTCAGTTTGGATGAGCTGGCTGAGGAGTGCTATTCAATATGCCAGCCAGACACACTTCCCTACATGTAGCTTTTGCCAGGTACAGCTTAGAAAGAAGTCTTCCCAGGGCAGCTTGTACGGCAGCCGGGAACAAGAGTGGGGGTCCTGGGAGCAGCGCACAGGTTTTCCCAGGCACAGCGGGAGGCATCGCTCACCCTCCCTCCCCCCTTCACCCTCATCCTGCTCCTCCGTGTGTTCTCTGCTGCCACCAGTTCCTAGCTCCATTGTTCCCTGAAGCCAAGCAGCCAGTGTGCAGCCAGGCCCCGGCACACGCTCTCCCAGCCAGGAACTTCCTCTGAAGCTGCAGTGCGTAATTACAACCAGCTGCTCCAGGCTGCTGGCCGCCAGTTCTGCAAACAAGCCTCCTAATGCCCCGAGTGCCAGGGACGCAGCAGCCCGCTCTTGGCAACCTCTGGGGCTCCTGAGGAAGTGCCCACACCCTTCCAGGATGAGGGGCAGGCCTTTCCCTCCTCCTAGTGCCTGGGGCTTTCCTCTCATGTGGGGACTCCCCGATCAGAGAACCCCCCTCCTGTGTGTGTGTGTGTGCGCGCGCGTGCGAGCGTGTGTGTGCGTGTAATTCTTGTGTGTGTTGGTGTGAATTATACACATGTGGGGAGGATGGAGGCCAGAGCTCAACATTGTGTGTCTTCCTTGATGGTCTCTACACTATTTTTTGAGGCTTGACCCGGAGCTCACAGATTTAACTAGACTGGATGACCAAGGAGCTTCACGGAGTCACATCAAGCCCCGCAGCCACATCTGGCTGCTCCAGGAGTGCTGGGCATGCAAACTCATGTCTCATACTTTCATGTCTCATACTTGGCCAAATGAGCCACCCCCTTAGTCCCGCCCCTCCCCCAGCTGTCTCTGCTGTTCCATGGAAGGTGCCTGCTTGGTCTCCTGCAACCTGCTTTGCCCCGCTGGCCTGTGCCCGTGTCCCGAGTCGCAGGATGATGTGTCTTAGAGGTCACATTAGGGTCCTTGGCTTCGGTGTCTCGGCTGCGGCATTCTGTGATTATGCACACACGAATCCGGGTCAGGATCATGCACTTAGCTAGCACGAGGCTAAAAGACAAGCAGCACTGCTTTAACCAAAAAGCGAAAATCCAAATACTTCTAGCTGACCCTCCCTAAGGAGAGCTGCTGTGGGCAGGAGAGTGAGGACTTGCCCATGCCCCGCCTCTGGGCCGCTGCGGGGTCATTTTGGGGCTTTGGTGATCTTTCAGGCTTGGCTACAAGAATGACTCTGATCCAAAATTAGGCTTTGGATGTGTGACACAAAGCGGCCAGCCCCACCCACCGCCTCTTTCTGCCCTATGCTGTGTCTTCCAAGCCTGGCTTTGGGCCAGATCTGGCCCTTCTGGCTCCTGGGGGTGGGGGGGAAGGGCCAGCCACACTGCTGTTTCTAGGCAGAGTTCAGCCTTCATGAAGGTGCGTGGTGCAATCCAGGAAGAAGCGCGGGGGTGGGTGGGGTTTCCCATGCTGGGAAGAGAGCCTAGCCCTCACATTACTCACCCACCACCCCCAAATGGGAGAGGATCTTACAAGAGAGGGAGAGTCACCCCCGGGGGTCCTACAGAAGGGAACATGCCGGACTTGGGGACGGCACTCTGTCACGCTCCTGTTGAAAGGGCATTTCATTTACGCTGAAGGTTCGCAGGGACGTCCTGCGTGTCAGCCGACAGAGAGGCGCATCTTAGAGAGGGCGTCCCCGGGTCTTGGCAGTCTTACCCTGGCTAGCAGCAGCAGCGCGGCAGCCTTCTGTGACGCTTACGTTTGTCCTTAGCAGTCTTTGTCCCCCAACCCTGAAAACTCACAGCAAAATGCGGCTGGCTGAGAGCAGTGCCGGACAGGGAGCATCTACTAGGAATGAGTCATAAACGGCAGTAAGGCTCGGCTGGCCTCGAAGGTGAGCACAGACCGGAAGCCTGGGTTGAGTATGTGAAGTTCGTGCCTCACGGATGCTGCTTTTGTGTTTCTCCATAAGCCTCTGATCACCTTTGCAATCTAATATCCTTCCGAGAGACAAAAAGAAGGCCAGTTTCCAAGTCTTAAGCCTGGTTGCACTTCAAAAGCAGTACTCGTCTGGAAGAGGATCCAACCTGCATGTTACTGGCGCAGTGTGGGAGGCTCCAGGAGCTGGAGCAGGCTGGAGTCCCAGTGACTCAGTCCTGTGAGGTTTTGTTTTGTTTTTTATTTTTTAAACTGGGCTTTTCCTTTGGGCTTGCAATGAAGAGCAAAGTTAAGGAGAAAACAGTACGGTCATGTCTTCGCTGTCATTGTAAACCTCGACTGAGAATGTCACAGATGAGAGCGCCAGGCCCGGCCTCTCTGCTCCCTAGAGAGGGAGTGTGGAGAGACATCTGGGGGGGGGGTTCTCAGCCTTCCTAGTGCTGTGACCCTTTAATGCAGTTCCTTGTGTGGTGGTGACCCCCAGCCCTGAAGTGATCTCTTTGCTACTTCATAACTGCAATTTTGCTACTGTTGTGAATCATAATGTAAGTAGCTGATATGCAGGATATCTGATATGCAATCCAGGGTTCAGAAGCTCCTGTCAAATCAGGAGGAGAGGGGGCAGCTAAGGACTGAAAGGGGAAAGTTAATCTTTGGGGCTGTAAAAGATGAGGTGGTTGGGCTCCGTGCCAGACTTTATACAATTGTCTTGTGTGATTTTTTCCATCCCTGCCCTTAATTGTTTACACGAATCTGGCAGGTTCTTTGACTTCTCCTGGTTTTACTTTTCTTATCTATAAAATGAGGATGAAGGTCACGTCGATGCAGTTCTGGCATGTGTGCCATAGGAGTAAAAGGAAACATTGTCAAAAGCAGGACGTTCCTAAATGGAAGAGTAAAACCCTACTAGAGAAAGCCCTGGATCCGAGTATCTGATACTCGTTAGTTCATTTGCATTGAAACAAACTGTTGGGTCCTCCCAGCTGAAGCATATCCGACCAAATAACAGCTCCAGTGAATAAAGAAATATAACTGTTTTCTTAGATAGAGGCCATGTTTATTCTTGTGAAAAGCACCTATTTTGGACTGGGCATGGCAGAGTCCTTGCCCGCCACACACAAAGCTCCACATAACCCTACGTGCTGATACACACCTGTTATCCCGGGATTGGGAAGAGGAAGCCAGAAGATCAGTAGTCCAAGGCCAAACTTCAGCCACACAGCAATTTCGAGGTCGGTTTGGATAGGACAGATCCTGTCTCACAGGGCAAAAACAATGCGAAACAGAGTCGCAGGCACAGCTCAGCGGTGGAACCCCAACCCACACATGCAAGGGGCTGCATCCCTGGTAACCCAAAAACCAAACCAAATGGAACCAACAACACATGCCCTGTAAGTTCTAAACCTTCCGAGGAAGTTGTGTTGTTTTTCTACATAAAGGGAAGCAAGGGAGTTTTCTGGTCTCTTCTGGGACCTTCTGGCATCTTACCAAGATGTCCTCAGTGCTTCCAGATTAAGGTATGTATATATCAGTCTTTCCACCAGGAGATGGAGAAACTGAGGCCTAAGGAGGTGAGGTGAGGCCACTCAGAGAGCAGCTGGCTTCCAATACCTGGCTTTAAAGCCTGCTCTCATGTGTTATTCTTATAAATGGCTACCAGTGACTTTGTCTTTAGGCTAAACAGTGTCAAACAGGACCCCACCATACGCAAAGCATTTGTGTACAAATGGGATCTCCTCTTTCCTGGGGCAGAACACAGGACACTGAAGAGAAATGAAGGGGGAAAAACTGTTACCATTGGAGTCAGGAACCCCATCTGAGGCAATCTCCCAGTGAAATTCTAGAAACAATGGTGTCATGGCTGTTGCCTTTGATACCACCTGTCAATCCACTAAAAATGGACCTTATTTATAAAAACTCATAGCTGGACTTCCCAGACACTTGCTTTATTCAAAATTTATTTCTGCCTCTATTGGAGATGTTCTTTCCTTAACATCATGGTGCAGAGAAATAAACTGATAACAAAATATTTAAAATTTCATGCTAGCGTTCATATGTTGTGAGAATATGTATCATCACATGTAAGTCAAGTGCTTGAGTTGATGGAGCATTTCCATTTAAAAATATAGGTGGTGACCTGTTTTCCCCTTACCCATTGTCTACTGAGATATGTGTCCCTCTAGGTTTGTAGCTTGGCTCTGCCACCAGCTTTGTGACTTTAGGCAAAGGCTTCCAGCCTTGGTCTCCTGGACTAGCCTAGGGTTCTTGCAAAGACTGCTTGACTTCATGGTTGTGCAAGTCTGGAAATAACCCCCGTTGCACAGTAGATGCTCAGTCAAACTTGTTTTTAATCCTTCTTTACCATTGAATACATTCTGTAAAAACCTGTGTGTGTGTGTATGTGTGTGTATGTGTGTGTGTGTGTGTGTGTGTGTGTGCATGTGCGGTGTATGTACGTCTTTATGAGTTGTGTGTGTGAATGAAGGCCCCTGTGGAGGTCAGAGACTCACATGGGGTGTCCTCTTCAATTGCTCTCCACCTTTTGTTCTCAGACACTGTTACTGATCCCAGAGCTCATGGATTGGGTAGACGAGCTGGCCAGTGAGTTCTGGGATCTGCTTCTCCCTGCCCCTCCCTCCAACACTAGGGTTACAGACCCATTCCACCACACCCTGCTTCCCCGTGAGTGCTGGAGATCTGAACGAGGTCCTCATGCCTGTAAGGCAGGCACTTTACCCATCAAACCATCTCCACAGCCTGTTTACAGTCTTTAGAAAGACTTTTGCTCATTGGAGGTACATAGTTCACACAATTCTAGAAGGTATATTTAGATTTCCATCTACATGAGAAAACTCTCAGAGAGGTTGAGTTGTTTGCTCAAAGTCACACAGTGAATGAGCCCTAGCCCGAAAGCCTGGCGCCCCACACCCTTGTCCTGTGATCATTTCATTAATTTTCCTCCATTGCCACTGCAGCCCTGACCTGAAGACAAGCACCTGGTTTGAGGCCCAACCAACTCAGTTCCTCCCCTGAGGATGCAGGTCCCCTGGGCCTCTCTCTGCCTCCCTGCACTGCACTCCAGGCTTGAATGCTGTCATTTCTTTCAGTGACTTCTTTCTAACTCCCTTTTAGTGGGCATGCTCTCAGACTCCACAGTATGTGAGACAAACTGGGGGTGGGCATTCTTTCAAATGAGAGCAGTTGGATTAGATTCCACTGCACACGTTGTGTTGTTAAATATCTCCAGCATGATAAAAACGCTCCTAAATGTCACCAATCCCTGGGGGATTTATTAATAATTAAGCATTTTTAGATCATTTACGAACGCAGGTTCCATTTAGCAAGAAAATGTACACTAAATGTGTCCATTATATTGCACTTTGCAGAAGAATTTGTTAGAGATCTCAGCTGGGTTTCTCCACGACAGATGACAAAGTTACTGCAGGTATCACTCTCCACTGAAGACAGCAGCAGTGTCCTGGACCGGTTTATAAAGTCTGTGTTTATTAGATGTGTTTATTAGAATGACTAACAATGGAGATGATGGAAGAAAACTCCCAAGGAGTCCAGGGAACCCAGGGAAGTCAAAACAAAACAAAACAAAACAAAAAACCCTGAGGCATTAGAGACCCATTGTCTGTAGGGAAGTGAGCCTTTTGTCCCAACACTTGGGCTTTAAGATGTTTAAGGATACTCTTCTCTCTTCTCTGGGGAGACTCTGGGCAGTTGCAATGTAGACCTCAACAGAGTAAGAGGCCCAGACCTTATCTCTGGTTAGATAAGACCACATGGAAATACTTGGATTATTAGAAAATGGGTGAATAATTAAGGCTGAGCTAGCAAATAAGAAACCTCAGCCAACAGCCAACAATATAACAAATATAGTGTCTACGTGTTTCTTTGGGGCAGAGAAGGGCAGTGGAACTCAGCTGGGCCAAGAAAACTAAATTTGACAAAATGGCACCAGCAACATGCGGCACAAGCGTAAAAGAGATTTTAGAAACAAAAGAACAGAGACAAGCACAGTTTCTTGGTAGCAGCATTTTCTCGGTGGGCTGTTTTGCTACAGACAAGCAGAGACTCACAAGCCTCCTTTAAGAGAATCTTCCTGATTCAGCATAAGCAGCAAAAAACTGCAAAGAAATTCGTAGGCAAATGGATGGAACTAGGAGAAACCATCCTGAGAGAGGTAACCCAGTCACAAAAAGACAAACATGGTATGTAATCACTCATATATGGATTTTAGACATAGAGCAAAGGATTATCAGCCTACAATCCACACCACCAGAGAAGCTAGGAAACAAGGGGGACCCTAAGAGAGACATACATGATCACCCGGAGAAGGGGAAAGGGACAAGATCTCCTGAGCTGATTGGGAGCATGGGGGTAGGGGAGAGGGTGCTAGGAGAAAGAGAAGGGGAGAAGAGGAGGACATGAGGGAGCAGGAAGGTTGAGTGGGGAGAAGAATAGAAGAAAGAAAGATAAGAGATACCATAATAGAGGGAGCCATTATAGGTTTAAAGAGAAATCTGGCACTAGGGAAATGTCCAGAGATCTACAAGGATGACCCCAACTAACAATCTAAGCACTAGTGGAGAGGCTACCTTAAATGCCTTTCCCCGATAATGAGACTGATGACTATCTTATACATCATTCTGGAGCCTTCATCCAGTAGCTGATGGAAGAAGAAGCAGACACCCCACACCTAAACACTGAACTGAACTGGAATCCAGTTTCAGAGAGGGAAGAGTGATGAGCAAAGGGGTCAAGACCAGGCTAGAGAAACCCACAGAAACAGCTGACCTGAACAAGGGGAGCTCATGGACCCCAGACTGACAGCTGGGAAACCAGCATAGGACTGACCCAGACCCCCTGAATGTGGGTGTCAGTGAGGAGGCCTCAGCAATCTATATGGCCTCTGGTAGTGGATCAGTATTTATCCCTAGCATACGAATGGACTTTGGGAGCCCATTCCACATAGAGGAATACTGTCTCAGCCTAGATGCACGGGGCAGGGCCTAGGCCCTGCTCAAAATGATATGACAGACTTTGAAGATCCCTCATGGAAGGCCTCACCCTCTCTAGGGAGCAGAAAGGGAATAGGATAGAGGGTCAGTGGGGGGCAGAGGAGGAGGGGAGGGAGAGGGAACTAGGATTGACATGTAAAACAAGCTTGTTTCTAATTTAAATTAAAAAATAGAAAAAAACTAAGATGATTAAAAAAAATGTTTAAGTACTAGGCAAAGAGACTTATTATTCTATATGTGCCACCTAACTGGAAGGACATTTATGTTTTTATTTAGCTGGCACCAAAAAGACATATAATTCTGATGAACAAGATGCAAATGCAGACACACATGCACACATACAAACACACATACATGGGCATGCATGTGATTGCACAGCCATGTACACATACAAACACACACACACAGGCACACACATGCACAGGCGCACAAACATACACAGGTACACATAGGCACACACATATACACATACACATACAGGCGTGTGCACACACACATACACACACATATACACAGGCACACACACACACAAATTCTTTAACAAATGATTCTATTTTCTTTTGTAAGATACCCAATTATTTTCTTTTTTCTTCTCTCCTCCCTCATTTTCTGACCAAGGCCAATCCTCCGAATAGCCAGCAAGAACAGGGTATGGTGGATGAAGCCCCAGGGCTTGGGAGGGAGAGGGAGAGGCAGGAGGATCAGGAGTTCAAGGCCTAACCTGGGCTGTGTAAGACCCTGTCTCAACAGAAACAAGCATACAGGGCAGCCGTAGTTACAGGGAAAGGGGGTGGGGAGCGGGCACAGGAAAAGACGCTCAGAAGCAGGTTGTCGCCTCCTTTGTCTCCTCCCAGGGTTACTAGCTTCTCCTAAGGCCACCAAAAGTGTCCCTTTTGAAGTTGATCAATGGAAGAAAGGACAAAGTAGGGAGGGAGGAAAGAAAAGAAAGAGAAGAGGAGAGGAGGGGAATTGTGGGTAAGACTGGGTGTGTTATTTAACCTCTTTCTCCCTAGGCCCCTTTCTCTACCAACAGAAGTTTCCATGGCCCCAGAAATCCCCTTCAGCCCTAATGCTAAGAATTCTGGGCTTAAAGCAAAGAGGCCTTTTCTCCGTGGCGCCGAACACTTTGTGATTTCAAACAAAGTTTTTGGATGCATTCTTCCACTTTCTTGTTTTCCAAACAGAAACCAGTTTCTTCTTTCAAAGCCCCTGCAAGGCCAATAAAAGAACCATAAATTTAGCAATCAATCAGGACCCCAAACAAAGAAGAAAAAAGCCTCATGGACAGGGTGGCCAGCGGCCTCTCCCATCACCTCAAAGTAAAAGCTTCAAGGAAGAGTGTGAGGTGACCGGGAGCCTGAGGTGACCGTGGAGACCAGGCAGAGAATGACCAAGGCTGGCAAAGGAGGCTGAGCATTGCAGACGCCCAACATCCACCCCTGTGGTACCGCTGTCAGCGCCTAGCTTTCAGACCCCCTGAGCCAAATCGCTACCTGTCTGTTCAGGGAGCTGCCCTCAAGTGTCTACCAGACAAGCGTCAGAGTCCAGGAGAGAACAGGACTGCATAGACCTGGGATGAGTCTCAGGAAAGGGTTGGTGCGAGCGAGGGGCCAGGGAGGAGATGCGTGCACCTGGACCGGGGCTGTAGGCCTGTGGGCCATGGGCCATGAAGTCGCGCCAGCAGGAGACTTGAACCGTGAAATGATGGGGTGGGGGCGACTAGGAGGTGGCAGAGGCAGGAAAGCCAAGCGGATTAGTAAACCCAGTGACCTCGGGTAGTTTTCTTCAGCCACTGGCTTCCGGCTCTGAAGGGGGCTGCTGGTTTCCGCTGTGACAAACCCACCCATCGCAAGCGACAGTCGCGTGCACCCCAGCATCTGAGGAAGCAGGCAATGCGTTGTCTCGCTGTGTGTGCCTTCACACAACGTGCTTGTGTCACCTCATGCCACCCAAACCCCGAAGGCTTGAAGAACGGCTTTGCTCTGTCACTCTGCGAAGTCTAGAAGACCCTCTACTTACCACCAAGGCGAATGGATGAGACCCATGCTCGCCACGGCACGGGTCCCGCGCCCTGTGGTCCACATGCTTCAGACACGGGCTGCGAAGCTGCGTCCGGTAAGGAGTGGCCTCCCTCAGCAGCGAGACTCATAGGAAATACATGTATGCGAGTGTGTTTAGGGGGGCGGGGTGTGGATTCCTATCTCGTCTCAAGGCTGTCTTTTTTTTTTTTATCTTGCAGGTGCTTGGTGGAGAAAAACATGGTTAAAACGCTGGGCTCTGTGGACCATCACAGGTTCCCCAAGCTTGCAGGTGTGGGGCCAACTAATTCCCGGCAGGCATGATTACACCGTGGTCTTTGTGACTTTCTCGTCTTTATGGAAGAATTTCTGACAGTGACAACTTAACGGAGAAGGAATGTATGGTGGCTCACAGTCTCCGGGGATGTCTGTCCCTCAAGGAGGGGAAGGCATGGCAGAGCTTATGGGGCTGGGAAGGTTAGGAAGTTCAGTGAGGCGCTGGAATCTGAACCCCAGGGATCCGCCCCTGCTGCAGAGGCCACAGTCTCCGAGGTCCCACAGTCTCCACGCCGAGGCCACCACTGGGGCTCCGCGTTCACACACCTGCAGCTGTGGTGGGGGCGAGGCTGAAATGGGGCCACCTGCCCGGCTACCCCGACATCTTCGGACAGAACAAAGGCGCAAGCTCCTTACGCCGCCTTCTTTCTACCAGGGTCAATTAGACCTGCATTGTAGAATTTCCGCAGGCCTTGCCCTCAGCTGCAGGCAATAAATCACATTTCGGGTTCATGTTGCACAGCGGCTGTCGGTCTGCCTCTCCCACGCGCTCCTCTCTTGCCGCACTGGTGCAAAGGCCACGTCTCTCTGTGGAGGGATGCATGCGGGGAACACTTCGCTCCAAGCGCACACGCACGGTTTGATTAAAGTCCCTTTTCTCTTCCTCAAGGCTGATTTCTCTTTAGTCTTAATTTCTTTTTTTATCTGTGCTGACTCATTTTGTATGACAGCTCTTACATAACTTACCTATAAAGCTGAGACACAAAACATAACCAAATGCACTTCGTGGTGCCCGAAGAGTTAAGCGTGCGTATGGAGACTGAAGGCGGGTAGACCTTGGAAATCCTGTCGGGACCAACCTTCCCTTTAAAGATGACGTTAAATGGCTTGTCTAAGAATTGTGGGTAGAGCAGGGAATGAAATGATTCCCCCCCCCCAATCAATGACGTTTCTTTGCAGTACACCATGGTACACACCCGCCAGAATCTGGGCTTGCTTTCTCATCGCTCCTAGACAGAAGCTAACCCGCGATGAGCTGGTCGTGGCCCATGTATCGAAAGGCTATGGAGAAGATCGCACAAGGCCTGCGTAAGCCAGTCTATGCTGTTCTGCATCTTAACTCCAAGGCTTACTGCTTCTCTCCCTGAAGCATTAGTGATTGTTTATCTAGTTATTGTTTATTTGGGGGCCTTACTATGTAGCTCTGGATAGTCCCATAACTCACAGCAGTCCTCCTGCCTCAGCCTCAAGAGTGCTGGGGTCACAGGGATAGTGCCAATGCACCTGCCTGTCATCGGCGTTTTGTAGCCATGACTGTATTATCCATCCTTAGGTTTATAAAGTATACCATTTGCCTTTGATAGAGGAGGAAAGTGATGTTAGAAAACTATAGCATAAGGCTGAAGGGATGGCTCAGCAATTAAAATCAGGTTAAGAGCACTGGCTGCCCTTCCAAAGGACCTGGGTTCGATTCCCAGCATCTACATGGCAAGTCACAATGGTCTGTAACTCCAGTTCCGGGGATCTGACGCCCTCTTCTGGTCTCCTCAGGCACTGCATGCATGTTATGTGGTACACATAGGCAAATAGCCCTACATATAGGCAAAATATCCATATTCATAAAATAATAAAATAAACACATAAATAAAACTTAATATCATACCCTGATGTGCAGTAATAAGTGTCAGGGACATCAACACAGACCCATTGACAGCAAACATATGATTTATACTTCCCCATGAGGAGCCATGAAGACTGACAACAATCTAGCAAACATTTATTGAGCATCTACTATGTGACAGAAACTTCCGACAGGGAGCATACATGATCACAGATCCTCAGTAGAATAGAGACAAGCTTAGGGAGGTTGAAAAACTCTCTTAAAGTCACTCAGATGATACACGACAGATTTGAAACCAGGCAGTCCAACTCTATTAACTGAGCATCAAACACCACAGTACACTACTGTACAACTGGAAGTTGTTTCTTTCCTGGTGTGTATGTAGGGTGTCTGTGCATGAAGGTGTGTGTGTGTGTGTGTGTGTGTGTGTGTGTGCGTGCGTGCTCGTGCACACGTGTACATGCAGGCATCTATGTGTTCGTGTATGTGTGTGCTCTAATACATGCACACACACCCCCCACACACACACATAGGCCAGGCCACAACCTCGGGTATCACCCACCTCTTTTCTGTCTGTTTTTGAGGCAGAGTCTCTCACTGACCTGGAATTCACCAAGAAGGTCAGGCTGGCTGGCCAAAGAGTCATGGAATGTACTTGTGTGAGCCTCCCTAGCATTGAGATTACTAGCGCATACCCCACATTGGACTTATTTTTGACATGGGTCCAGTGGGTTGGGCTCATGTTTGCTAGGCAGGCACTTCACTGACTGAGCCATCTCCAGACAATGGCAGTTGCTTCTGTGGAGCTTCCCAAACGAGACTGGACCTGTGGCCTACAGTTCCAGGCCTGTTCACCGGGTGGGTTGCTCTCTCCAGATGGGCCTTTCTGTGGTACCAGCGGTTGAAATCCCAGGGTTGGAAGGGCTTGTCCTTGCTGCTGGCCACCAGGGTCTGTTGTTTTCCCTGCCAAGCCACTGAAGCACCTCAAGAGCAGCACTTGGGAGGGGGGTTCCCCAGCTTCTCCTGGGAGCCACCCCAACTCAGCTCACAGCAAGGCGACTTCAAAAGCATCCTGTTGACACTCTCTCTGGATGTGTGGCACATCTAGTCCAACAAATGTCTTTTGTGTCCTGGGAGGCTGGCTGCATTCCAGGGCATCTTCGTGAATCCAACTTACATTTCAGTGTGAAGTAGGTCTAGTCGCTGGCCCGTAGGGACTTGCCCAAGAAGGTGTGTAGCTGTAGCACTGGTCTATTGGACTTTATTTAGTTTGGTCTAGACACAGGTGTCATATTTCTTCCTGCCAGCCTCCAGATGTTCAGAGGTTTTTGGGTTTTTTTTTTCTATCTTATATTCCCATTGCTTTGATATTTCTGAGGAGTAAAAATAAATGAGAGAGAGAGAGAGATAGAAGAGAGAGAGAGAGAGACTTAGTGAAATTCTTCAGCTGCCAGTAGAATATTCTTTGCATGGGTTAGATTTAATCTTGGCCGTCTCTTTCGCCTTGCACAACCCTAGTAATGTTAAAACTCTTGACAGATGGGCCCGAAGTCCTTGAAGACTGTTGAAGTGTAACTCAACGGTTGCCAAAGGGAAGGTCACAAATGCTTTTAAAAGGGTGACCCGCAGGTTACGAGGGAGGAGGTATCACTCTGAGACCCCCACACTTGGGTTCCTTCGCGCACTCTGGAGCAGTACACGTCCAAGGCCGCGTCAGTCTCCAAGCGCGTGCAGTAGGTGTGGACGAAGCCAGCTAACGGCAGCCGGGTTCTTCACGGACGGTGCGGGGCTTCTTCCAGTCAGGCCAATGAAGAGCAGCATGCGCGCCGATTCACGTTACCAAAGGCTTTTGTAAAACTGGCGGATACAAAGCGCTTCCTCTATGTGACATGCCACAGGTGCCACGGGAAAGTCTCGCGGCCGGCTCTCTCGAGGGAGCCCCAACACTGGCTGCCTTGCAAGAGAGCAAGACAGATCTTACTGCGCAACCACTGGGTTGCCAGGGTGCTGCCCTGAATTTCTCTGTAGTAGAAAAAGCAGCGGACAGTCTGGGAGGGCTATCTTATCACTCTCAGTTTTAGTTTTCCTCCAGAAAAGGATAATGAACGTGAAGTCTCACTGTGTGTCCTTGACATTCACATAAAAGTAAACACAGCTGTCTGCGTCTGAGAAAGCTCTTCCATTTCAACCTGACAATGCCCTCCGACACAGAGCTATGAGGATGATCAGGGTTGGGGCACACTTGCGAATTAGCGTGTGTACTTCAAAAGTATACACTCCTCATCTAGAGAAGCCCAAGCGCCAAGCGGCTGGATCCTTAGGGAGCATTAGGAAGGGGATTTAAGAACTGGCTGGGTGGCCCGACTAGGTCACCTTTGGTACTCTGACATGCTTTAACGCTAGTTTGCTCTGTTTTACCTAGGTTTGTTTCCAGAATGTTCTACTCCAAGGAGGCCATGTTCTTTCCTTCCCAAGGTCTTTGTCCATAGCATAGTCTGGGTTTTTTCTCTGGACTAGCCACATTCCCTAATAACTATCCTAGGCTGTTAAGAGAAGCTTTTTCTTTTTATAGGGGCCTTCCCGCCAGCCTGGTTCTAGAGCCGCATCAGTCCCAAATAAACACACAGGAGGCTATATTAATTATGAAGCTGTTGGCCTTGCTTGTTTCTTACTGGCTAGCTCTGACTTAAGTAATTACCCCATAATTGTTAATCTAAGTATGTCTCTTACCGGAGAATAGTTCCGGGCTCCTACCCCATCGCGTTACATCTCGAACTCTCCTGTGTTTCTCCTTCCCAGAATCCTCCTGGACTCCTAGCCCCACCTATCTAGATTCCTATTGGCCAGCAGTAATTTATTGACATATACACAGGACTTCCCCAACACTAGGCTCCCCTTTTTAATGATTCAATGGCTGACTGTAATTGTTTTCTTCATAAAGTGCTAATTTCTAGAGTTGCTGGGAAAGCAATTGCCACTCAAGCACGAGGACTTGAGTTCAATGTCTAGAACCCATGTAAGACAGCTGGGTATGGTGGGTATGTGTAACCCTAACCCTGGAGAAGCAGAGGCAGAAGGATGCCCTAGGCTGATCCGCCAGAACTGCACAATTGGCAAGTTTCAGACCACGTGACAAACCTTGTCTAGAATCACAGGTGGATCATAGCTGAGGAATGGCATCTGCGTTTGTCCTCTTGCCTACACACCATATGCAAATGTGCACACATACAGACACACGCATGTAGACACACACACAACACACGCACACTCACAGAAGGGGCTAATTATAATCCCGCTGCCCGTGCACACTCTACTGCTCTTTGCTTTTGAATCTATTTAGTTTTCTCCCTGAAGTGTACACACTTTACAAGCACATCTACACTTGGAATGGGTTACCTGTGGACTGTTCAATTTAAATTAATTTTTAATGTCTGGTCCAATGAATGAACAGAAAAGTTGGGTTAATATATGGAATCTAAATTGTCTCCACTTCCTAGGTGTTACAATTACAGGTGTGTGGGACCAAAAAAGAAAAGAAAAAGACAGTGGCGATGTAGTTGACGTAGCAGTGGGAGACTTGCCTGGGATACAGGAAGCCCTGGAGGGGTCCCTAGTACTGCGTAAACCAGGCATGGTGGCTCACGCCTGTAACTCCACCACTACGGAGGGTCAGAGGTTCAAGGTTATCCTCTGCTACACACAGGGTTCATGGCCAGCATAGGTTTGGAGACACGATCTCAAAGCAGTGGGGGGGGGGGCGGGGGCTTGGGGGAGAGAGGGATACAACAAACCGGCCAATGGCAAACAAACAACTAAAATGGATGGTTTGTTTGCTAGCAGACATGTTTCGGAAAACATAATGCACTGCGAAGCATGAAAACTACAGTTGCTTCTCTTCTTTATCACGCTATGTGAATTTCTCAGCTCTGCATAGCTGTTTTTGACTAGGTCATACGCTGTGAATTGCGTCCTGTGACAAGAGAAATCCTGGGGTGCGGGTGTGGGTGTGGGTTTGTTTACTGTTTTACCTGCTCACTATCCTGGGTCT